TTATAATCTTATTAATTTATGCATTGATGGTTGATTATTTTTTTTACCCTGGAGTATTATTTATTGGTGAACCTATACCCTAGACCTTTTATTATTTATTATTATTTACTCCATCTGAGTCAATATAGGCTTATCCCTAGCTTCCTTGATTACAGCATTAAAAGTCTCACAAATGTTGTTGAGCAACATGTTTGACTTTGGGAATGTGCTGAATGCATGTCTAGACCAGTGCTTAGCTGGGATTTCAACAAGATACTCAAAGGCTTCCTCAGACAAGAACCTTATTGACTCCATAGCTACCTCAAAGTCAAACTACAACAAAAAGGGTAAACATTCTAACTTATTGAATCAAAACACACACATGGATTTTTTATGTAACAGACAACATTACAGAACACTGCATATATTAATCTTACCAGTGTTGTTGCCCTTGCTGCTGACCAGAACAACTCCTTGAAAGTGGATCCACTAAATTGCAGCTTGAAGTTAGCCCATATATGTCTGACACAGTACCTTGTGTCTGCATAAGGCACAACCTGCTGCAAAGCCTCTAGCAAGCTCTGTTCAAACATCAAATATCAAAAAACAGTGCACTAACTTCAAAATTAAATCATAACTCACAATAAATTTTTGGATATAAGTGTACCTTTTGTCTGTCAGATATAAAGGTATATCATCATCCTTTAAGGCTTTCATGAGGCTCTCAAGGAACCAAACCCATGTTTCTGTGTTTTCTATTTCTGCTGTAGCCCAAGCAATAGGAAAGATGTTATTGTTGCCATCCTTACCAACTGCAACTAGTATCTGACCAGGGTATGGACCTTTGAGATGGCATCCATCAACCCCAATTATTGGTCTACAACCAGACAAAAATCCTCTCCTCAAAGGTGCAAGGCATACAAACATCCTCAAGAATAATGAGGCCTCATTTTGCTGCAATCCATCAACCACAACATTACAATCACTCCCAGGGCTGTATTTCATAAGAGCCTTTCCATAGTCCCACACTCTAGCATATTGTTCTGCTGCTGAACCATAAATCATTATCTTAGCCCTTGCCCTTGCCATCCAAGCTTTGCTGTAAGTAATTTCTGTGCCAAAAAAACCCTCCTTTTGAAGCTTTTTATTTTCCACCCAGGCTCACTTCTCCAATCTTCAATGTATGTCTCTGCTAAGAATTCAGCAGTCAGGTTCAGGTTGCTTCTCACCCTTAAGCACTTGTGCTTTAAATTCAAACTCTTAATTTGCCAATGATCTTGGTTCACAGATCTCCTTGCAACAACCCTAAAGTGACATCTCCCCCCCCCCCAACACATGTACACTGAGGCAGCCTACACTTCTTTTTATTCCATTTGCACTGACACCTCTTTCTACACTGGATAGTTACTTTGCTGCTATCATTGTGCAAAAACCAATATTCATACCTATTCTCAATGGCATGAACCTTCAGAGCCTTCCTTAGAACTTTGTTGTTGAGGAACTTCAGTCCTTTCACCAACTGAATAGGCTTCTTAAAGTCTACTGAGGCATGGAACCATGTACAATCATCTTGCTCATCATCTGAATTTCTAGGGCTGTCCAACTCCTCTGAATCTGATGTGAACTCTCCCTGTACAGTAATTTCTTTGCTCAACAGCTCACTTTCAAGCAGCTCAACATTGTTCTCCACCTCATATTCAGTCCTATCTTCCCCACACTGTAAACTAGCATTCACTTCTTCAATTATCTTGCTTACCGTGTTGTCAACACCTTCATGTATGTCAGCATCCTCAAATCCCCCCTCTTCTTCCCCTGCTTCCCACTCTATGTCAGTGTCAAGATCTTCTGAACTTGAGGATTCAGATCCAGAAGCTGACTCCACCTCAACCTCTCTCTTTGTCTTCCTCTTCATTTTCTCTTTTGTTTTCCCCTTTCCCTTTCCCTTTCCCTTTCCCTTTACTATCCCCCTATTTCTCCCAGATGTGCCTTCCTCTTCACCTTGTTTTTTCTTCCCTTTCACACTCTCTGAGAACAAAAGCTTTCTTGCTGTTTTCTGATTGTCCTCACCAACCTTATGCCCCCCCTTTTTGTTCTTTTCTGTCTCATCATTCTCCTTGGGTAAGGGCTGCAGAAACCTTGGGCTTCTCCTTATTTCAGGTTTTCTTTTACTGTTTTGGGTGGGCTGAACTACCTTGGGTACTTGGTCAGTACAATACACAACAACAAACCCACCCTTACTCTTTGTCTCCAAAAGGCCCTTCACATCATCATCAATTACAATTTCCTTTTTACCATTTGACCAAGTCTTCCCCTCTTGTTTATACCAAATGTTCCACTTGCTTGGCACAAACAAATCAAATTTCACAAACCCTCAAATGCAAGCTTCCCTAAGGAAGTCCACTGACAACTCACTCACTCTGCACTTGTACCTCCAATACTCACAGCCACCCTCATACCCACACAAAGTCTTACCCCTTAGTTGTTTGGTCACAAACACACCCCCTAATCTATCCTTAACATCAACACATTCAACATCACCAGCAAGCTGTCCATATAATAAAATAAAGCAATATTTACCACAGCAGCAATAAACAAAGCAAAAGTAAAAAAAGTAATGACTTGTTGTACATAGCAGCAATAAACAAAACAAAAGTAAAAAAAGCAATGACTTGTTGTACATAGCAGCAATAAACAATTAACCCAATTGACTGTCCTACCAACATACTTACACAACTCAACAAGGACTACAGAATAAGTGACCTACATTTATTAATTCAATAAGGTACACAATGAACCCTAACTTTCTACATAATTGCAATTATACCATCAACAAACAACAACAGTCAAAATTAAAGTCATTCAACACAATTGCTTACCTGTTTCGACGCCATTGTTACGAACCTACGCCACTGCTCCACAGCAAAATCCCAAAAACTGTCGAATTTCCCCAATGTGCCTTCGCAAAAACCCAAGATTAAATGCTTACAGAATGAACACAAAATTAGGTTTTATTGAAAAAATTAGGGTTTGTTTTCTAAGCCTTGTTGATAAATTATGAACATAGAAGGAGGACAAAGTTGATTACTGGTTTTTTCTGAGAATTTCTGAGAATTTTTGAAGAATTTCATTCACAAACAGGGAGAAGTTGATCTTTGTTGTTTCAGAATAGAGTGAAATCGAGATAGAAGGGAAAAAAAAGGAGGGAAATAAATTTGGTGGGGTCCACAAACGTAAAAGTCACCGGAATTGCTAAATGGGTGGTAATCTGAGCAATAATTTAATTTAATGGGTGGTGATATAAAAAAAAAATTTTGGGTGGTTATATCAAAACTGGACTATTTTTTGGGTGGTAATTTACAAAAAATCCAATTATTTTTGATTAGGTGATACAACTTTAGCCTGTCAAAAAAAATTTTGACAGGCTAAAGTCGTATCACCTAATAAAAAATAATTCATACAAAATAATACCAACTCTACAAAAAGCCTAGAAAACGTATATTAGTAATAAAAATAGCTTCGCATAGCTCAAATAAGCACAAATATGACCATGAGACGGGGAATAAAAATTATATATATAAAAGACTCTTCAAGGGGCGAATTGGGTTCGCCGGCGCGGGGGAGGGGGGTTTAGGCAACGACAAGTGGGGAGGGAGGGTTTTTCGAGAGAGTGAGGGGGTTTTAGGGTGGGGGGAAGGTGTTTCAGGGGAAGGAAAGGGTCGCCGACTAGGGTTCGAGGTCGGGACTGCTTCAGCGCGGGGGTTCTATGCAGACACCGCGCCACGAGGTGGTGGGGTTAGGGGCAAGGCGGGTGGCTGGCTAGGATGTGGTGGTGGGTAATTTTTTTTTTTAATTTGTATTTTTTTGATAATTAATTAAATAATTATTTTAAAATCTTTTATATAATTTAAGAGTCGTTTTTCAACTTCTCACCACAACACTTCAATCCTTGAATGGAGCAATTTTATGCAATTTTTTTTATAACAAATAATAACTTCCACTACTCTTACCACATCAATTGAAACTCTAATATTTTATTTTATTTTTTGGATTGAATAACTTCCACTTCAAAAAAAATAAATCTATAACTTAACTCAACTTTTTTTCTTTTTAATATACATAATTCACATATACGTATAATCGTATATTCCGTGCGTTAGCACAGATACACTCTAGTTAAAATAATTAAAAGAGAATCAATCATATAATGCTACATGACATAATTAGCCTTAATGACTAACAGATGTTAATGACTAACGGAGTTAACATCCGTTAGTCATTAATGACATGTTGTGACATTTTTGAAAACTGTATGGTATATGATGAATTTGAAAAATGTCGTGGGTATTAAGTGAATTAAGTTAAAACTCAGGGGTGTTTGGTGGTGGTATGGTTGGTGGTGGTGGCGGTGGTGGTTGATTGGGTTCGAGGCTTGATGGACTAGGAGAGAGAAAGCTATGTGGGGTTAAGTAAGGGTAATTTTATGAGAGTGGGGGATAACTCAAGTGGTTAGAGCTTTCCTCTCGATTTCAGAAAATCCTGGGATCGATTCTCACCCCCGCCCTCGTGGCTCTCTAAACACTAAAAAATAAGTAAGGGTAATTTTGTTCCTTCGTGACTTTTGTTATAAACTTGGTTTTTCTACGGAACACCTTTCATAAGCCCGCTACTCCGCTAGTCCAAGCATAACTAGTGCACATAAAACGAGCTCTTTCCCAAAATAATGTCAAGAAAAACCTCAATTCCCAAATTACAGCCACTTCTTTACATTTTCCCAATCTACCGTCCGCGTAAGCATTGGGTAAAAAAACCGGGTTTTTTTTTTCCGGTCCAGGGAAAACCGTTACTTCAAGTAGCGGTTTCTAAAAACAAAACCGCTACTTCAAGTAGCGGTTTTTGTTGTGAATTGTTTTCACTTAATAAACCGCCACTTGAAGTAGCGGTTTTTATTGAGTATACCGCTACTTCAAGTAGCGGTTTTCTTCAATACATCGCTACTTGAAGTAGCGGTTTTGTAAAAAAAACTGGTCAAAAAAAATTCCAACTGAACCGGTGACGTGGACGGTAAAGTGGGAATATATAAAAGAGTGGCTGCATTTAGGGAATTACGCGAATTCCTAACCTTGTTTAGGGAAAGCGCTCACATAAAACTCTTTTGTATCTTGCTTGCTCAAGTCGTTCTGTTTATGTTTCTTCTTTTTTAAAGACCAGTCAGCTCTGAAACAACACTTACAATCAAAACTCAACAATCCAATTTTTAATCAAGACAAGAATTTCAATTGTTAAACTCCAATTTTAATATTACAACAATTTAAACAATAACGTCAATTGCCCAATTGCAATTCAAAATCCCCAAATTCCAAACCCTCTGATTTTTTCAAAGACCTAATAATTAAATCACACTCTCCTATCCTCTTTGCTTGCTTCCTAAGATTTTCAAATTATTCCCTTATTTAAAGAAACCTGCGAATCAAGCGAAGAAAGGTATACGATACTGTTCCAAAAATTCAATTTTTGTTGCGATTTCTGTATTTTTGAGGTAATTGTTCTTGTTGAAATTTATATTTGATGTTTTTCTGATGATGGGGTTTTAGAATTTCTGTCTTTGATCATTCAATTTTTCAATATTAATGCTAATTAGTGTTCAAATTGATGCAATTTAGGTGAATTTGATTGTAAGAGGGGGAATTTGAAGCTGAATTGGTGATGTCACCTTCGGCTACTTTAAGGAGAAGGCTTCATCACGGTGATGTTGATGGGAGAAGACGTGAGCATTATGATTCGTCGGATTCTGGGAGTTTAGCGGAGCCATTGCTTGGAAATGATCGCGAGTATGGTGATAGAAATCGGGAGGTGAATTGATTTTACTTGTATAATATCATTCGTATCGCCTTTGTGGGATTGTTTCAGTGTTTGTGAATGATGATTGTGGTTTGATCCTTTGATTTTCGGTTAATTTCAGCAATATTCTTTGGATGAGCTTTTGGATGATCCAGGAAAGAAGGTCAATCTCCATTGGTCTTTTATATTTTCTCAGTTGCTCGCGCAGTGGGCTCAGTGGCTAGGTACTATATGTGGAACTCATTGAAATTCTTGTTTAGTATTTGGAACTTGAATTGAATAAACTAGTTTGTTTTAAATTGTACTTTGTGTTTGTTACTGCATTGAACTGATTGTGGAATCTGCCTATTGTGATTTCAATCGCATGTAGTGATGAGCTAGAACCGATTGTGGAATCTGCCTTAGGTAGTTTTAATCACATGCTAGTAGTTAGAATCTGATATGCAGAGAAAAGCCGGCACTATGTAGGAGGTAGCCCAAGAAATTTCTTTTTCGGGGGATGAGAGTGGTGAGAACTGACAGGCTTGATAATCTACATGTTATACCTTGAATATGTATGCTATATGGATAAATGAACCTAGTTGAGTATTTACTTTATTGAGTAGATTGAGCTTTAATCCTACATTGATCTCTGATAGAATACTGGATGGAATACAGACTAGAACCTTTATGTTTAACACTTGGCTACCCATTGAAATTCTTCTTGAAATGTGTAGGAAAGTGGAATGTGTCTAGGCGTCTAGCCAATGAAATTTTTCTTGAAATGTGTAGGAAAGTAGAATGTAGGTTGAAAAGAATTTTTAAGTGAAGGAGAAAGTAAGAAATAATTTCTATGTTTACCCGGTCAGAAACCGAGGCAATGAAATAAAACAGATAAATCCTACCCCAAGTTACTTATATCCAGTAAACCAAACTATAGAATTATCTGGTTTGGGTTATTCACAAAACTCTCCTGGATGTACTATATTAGATATTTCCAAACATTTTTGGTTACTTATTCAGTATTTTATTTATTTTGTGATTCATTTTTTTATGGGGAGTAATTTTCAAAAGCTTTAACAAGGCTTTAGTACCAACAGCATAGTAAACAATGTTCTCTGAAGTGTTAGATATAAAGGTGGTAAAATTGCTTGGTAAGGCAAGCTTGATAAAATTGCATTTGGTATTGGGTAGTTCTAGTTTATATCTATGCCATACCATATCAGGCTCAATATTTACTAAGGATGTATTGCATTCAATTGACTTTAAACTATATGAATTTGTCTTGATTTAATTGAAATTATGTGAACTTATTGAAACTTGTTGTAATAGTGAAATGAACATTTTCAAACTTTTCCTATCTGAATGAACTCTTGAACCTACATGAAGCAATCAACTAAGTTGAACATTACAGACCCTAAGACTCAGCTGTGCAAGATCATGTGTAATTATTTTACTTCTTGTTTAGCTGAGGATTATGCCCAGTCAACCTAGGAATATGGTGTGCAGGCCAGGATTTAATTTTTTTGATTTTTCTTTTTTTTTTTTTCTTTTTTTTTGGGGCCTAATCCTGCGTTTTTTTAACTGGCAACATCGTTTTGTTCGTTTCATACAAGTAACAATCAGGTAATTTTGTTTTGCACTGTTAAGCTAAGATTAATAGATGATTCACAGTAGCTTATTGTCAAAACGTGGGACTACTACCTCAACACTGGTGACATAATATAGTATTTAGTCTTTTTAGTGTCATCATAAACACTTAAACATCCTCGTTGCATCTTAGCTGTTATTGTGCATTGCCTGCCTGAGAATTAGCTCTGACCTTTCAGTGAAAGAAGAAACCCATACCACTTTCTGCTTCTTGCAATCTTCCTTGGTTTGAAGGTTGATATTCTCATAAATTTATTTTCTACTTAAGGCAGTGTTGGTCTGGTATTACTAGCCCGTGGCCCTGTTAAAATCCATGACATCTTCATAGACGATCTAGGCATGAAAATTGTGAATAGCATGCTTCATTGACATCGTAGCTTCCATCTGTGGCTCTAACAGCCTGGCAGCTGGCTCGATTCATCATCAATTTTGTTTGATCCCTCAATTATTGATTTTATGTTTCATGACCAATCCTTTCACATTGATCGAGTCTCTTCTTTTGACAGTTCGTTAAGAAGTCTGAAAACAAGTTATAAGTGAGAAATTTGGATGTTGACCTTCATATCACTCTTCCCTGAGACTGATTTATTTCTTGGATAGTCTCTTCTGTTGTGTACTACTGTACTTATTATCTTGTTCTATAAAACTTGTGGTCTTATGCTTTTATTTCACCTTAATTATTATACTAGAGATACTTATCCGCTTTTGGCAAGGTTTGGGAATTGTGAGAATTCTGGGAGGTACAGTTGTTCTCAACTTTGCACTTAATCTGTCTGCATGATGGAAAGAAAACAATCTAGGTATAATGTACACTCTTTATTACGTTCTTTTGTTTTGAACTCAAAGAGTCATGATTTGGTTGATGTCTGTTATAATTTTTTTTGAAGTGATAATTATTCCTTAATTGAAATAACAGTTAATTAAAAACTTGACAGTAATAAATATTGTTTCAATAGGAACTTGAGGAAAGTAGGATCTGTTATTCAATTTTTATCACGTGATAATTATCCCTTCCCTATGTCTAATTAATTTTTTAAATCTTGATATTTCTGTCCAGCAAATATTGTTCTTGGCTCAAGGTCACTTTTTGGGCGTCTTGTGGGTCCCGCATTCTCATCGCAAACACCTTTCCTTGCACCAGCTCTTACTTCATTACAGGTATAGTCGGTGTTAGGAATCAGGATGCTTTATTCTTCCTCAGTTGGCAATCTATGTTTTCTTGTTTTAGTATATGTAAATATTATGTTTGTTTGGACCATAATGTTAGATATTCAAAAGTGATGCTCTGTCATGTTGCTATTGTAGGAAGAAAGACTCAGACACCTTCAAAGCAGGCTGAAAGTTCCATTTGATGGAAGCCGATTAGAACATCAGGTTGATTTTCTTTCATGGTCGTTTGGACTTTAGAATGTTTTTAATGTATGTGTTACGATATTTTTTATATTAAGTAGAATTATTTAGTAAATATATAATAATCCTACTTGTTATTACATATACTAACAGTAAGGACAATGAAACTTGACAGTTTTGTGTAAATTGCTTGAGCAGCATTAGCAATGCAGTAAAGTTTCTGTTGGCAGATTATTCCTTCAAACATTGAGAATAAAACATGAGAATATTATTTGCTGCTCTTTGGATAAACCAAATGAATTTATTAGGGTTCTGACAAGCTATACATTAGGAGTTTTCTAGGTTTAATTACTGAATGAATCAAATTTGCTCTAACATTTTTTTTTTCTAATGCAGCTCACCTGTTCAGCGTATTGTCTTGCTGCCTTCTTGTTGATTATGTTTGTCAGCTATGCTTTGCTTTTAAATTCTATGTACACATCCCCCCATCTCACCCCCAAACTATCTGAAACTACTTATGATCTTTGAATGGCCTCTTTAATCCTTTCAAAATTCAAGTATTATGTCATGTCTATTCCTGATTGTCTATTGTGGATATATTCTTGATTTTTATGTTCTGAAATAGTTAAGGCTTGCTTCTCTTTGGGTGGATTAATACTTGCTCTTGTCCTGTTGTATATATGCAATTGTCTGATATTTGCATAATTTGCAAGCAATTTAACATATTTAAAGTATATCGGCACGGATTTTATACACCAAATGAAGATAAATAAAATCAATAAATGTTCTGATAAGGCAGCTTAATAATCAGAATCTACTACTTAATTCTCGCTACGCGTAGTCCATTCATTCATTTTCTCTGCATGTCATCACGTGACATGATTCAGAGCTCAAAAATCCAGCATTCATTTTCACTTATAATTGTTACCTGTCTAATGTCAATATGGACTATCATATTCCCATTGTGCATTTTTATTTTACATATTTGTTTATTTATTTTGTCAAAAAAGGGAACTTATTCATGTATATTGATGCATATTTGATAGTATCACATTAACAAAAACAACTTTTTGCTTCTAGGATGCTCTTAAGCAGCTGTGGAGGTTGGCTTTTCCCAACAGGGAGCTCCCACCTCTTAAATCAGAGCTTTGGAAGGAAATGGGCTGGCAAGGCACTGATCCCTCAACAGATTTTAGGTATGCTTACTGTTCGATGCTAGACTTTAAAATAAAAGCCATCTTACTATTTACCAGAATCTGATTTTAGATGTGATTATCTTCTTATACTAGGGGTGGAGGATACATTTCACTTGAAAATCTCATATATTTTGCCGAGAAATATCCGGTACGTATCCAACTATTCAGTCTTTAGATCTTTTTTATTGTTTACCATTTTGCATTCAGATTTTAATGTAGTTTTGAATGTTCTCAATCTCTTGTATTAGTGTTCCAATAAATTTTCCTGATTATGAAATCCACATGATGTTGACACTAGGAGAACAATCTTTAGAGTATAACGGTGATGTGTAATAATCCTAGATCGGATAACCATTGTCATCACCAAAAACCCTTTTTTCAGTAATGTTTACTGCTTAACTTGGTACTCACATCTGCACTACAGACCATTTGTGCAGTCTTGCTGCATTTAAGGCACAGCTGCCAACTCCTTCGCATCTCCTTACATAATCCTAGCAGCTCCATGTCCACTGCCTATCCTGATCCATCCCATCAAACTTTTCGAGCTCCCATTTGTAATTCTTATTCCCTGCGTTTAAAGTTAAAGATAATCCATAATATTTTTACTGTTGCAAGCTTCCATCTGGATCCTTCTTGATCATGTCTAGTATAATAGTTTCACCTGCACCTCATTTCACTTTCTTTGCCTATAATGGTACTAACTCAACTCTATTACACATCATTTTGTATAGGACACTTTTATTTTTTCTCAGCATGTCCCTGTCTTCTTTTAACTATGGCTTTTGTAAAAGTGAGACAAAATGTCAAGGATATTGATTTTATATTCTATTTTAGATATTATAAACTCTTCTGTAAAATTTTGTTGATGTGGAATATTTCAGGTTAGATTGGAAGGGGAAACTTACTTTATTAATGAACCTTCTCATTCTTCCAGGGCTCTTTCCAGTGTTTGTTGCACAAGAAAGATGGACAGAGGGCTGAGTGGGAATATCCCTTTGCTGTAGCTGGCATCAATATTTCATTTATGTTAGCACAAATGCTGGATCTCCAATCTGGTAAGTCTCGTTTACATGTCTCATAACTGGCTAAGTTTGGAAATATGATAACTCTCTTTAACTAGTCTTGTGAAAGATATGCATTAAGGCTGTGGGCAATGCCTGCATTCCCTTCAACAGGAGGAAGGGGGAAGGTTGATGTTTTCTTTCCCTGAAGATAAATGTTTGCTTTTTTGTCTACCCTCTATTTCTTTAAATGGAAGAAGCAAGGCTTATGGTGGAAATTGTGTTATTTTCTTAGAAAAAATTTCTTAAAATTATTAGAATTCCTCGTTTAAAGTTTACAAGGAATGGATTTTAAGCAGTAGGATCGAAAATTTCTTGCAGGAAAGCCAACTTCCAAAGCCGGGGTACATTTTCTAGAGTTACTTGCCCAGGATGAGATGGCATTTGACAATCTGTATTGTATAGCCTTTTTAATGATGGATGCGCAATGGCTTGCAAAACGTGCATCGTATATGGAGTTTAATGTAAGTCCTTTGTCTTTCCCCATCCTATCGCCTTGACATTCATTTTAGTGATATTTATGTGATTATTATCCAGGATGTTCTGAAATCAACAAGAGCTCAATTAGAACGGGAGCTTGAGTTAGAAGATATCTGCAGCGTAAAAGACTTGCCTGCGTACAACTTATTGAGGAGATAAGCCTTGACCCAATTGTATTTCACCAGCGAAAATTTGGGTTTCGATCAATTGTGAACAATGTAGTCATGCTTAAAGATGTAAAATGTTAAGTTAGATTTTATTCCTTTTTTTTTTTTTTATGCGATAGTGATTGTGATCAATATGCGTACACGTAGTTCAAAAATTCATACTTGTATAATGAAATAATGTTCTGCGCTTCCTTGCTTGTATACAAAATTTATATTATACAATAATTAGTATTTTTAATTTTTGTTCATACTATGGTAGAACCGTGAAATTTTTATGGTGGAGGCGTATGTACCAAGCATGGTACATCCAGTCTTAAAGTATTTTATTTTTTTTAAAAAAAAAAGTAGAAAAAACATATAGTTGTTTTGTAAAGAACATGTAGCTATTTTGTAAAGAACATTCAGCTTTATGTTCTTTTTGCATATCTAAAAAACATCCTTAATATTAATTAAAAAGCATGATAATATAATGTACTCCTTCCTTTTCGTATTAATCGCAACACTTTCCTTTTACATTTGTTTCATATTAATTGCAACACTTTTATATTTGAAAAGGATCACCCATTATTTTATAATTTTTCTCTCCTACTAACCCCAACTTTCACAAATATTTTATTATTTCTCTTTTCTATCAACCCCACTCATACTACTTTTTTTTTATTATTTCTCTCTCCTACTAACAATACTTTATATATTAAAAAAAAAATCCTCTTTTGGGCTCCACCTTATAAATTTTCTTAAACTCTGTGAACACCCTAGTGTGTTGCGATTAATACTAAACAGAGGGAGTAATGAACATTATTTATATTTACCCACCATAATTTAACGACAAAATTCAAAGAACATTTCACAATCAGCAATGAACTTGTCACAAATAAAAATACATTACACTGACAATTTAGTTTATCAATATATTTAATAAAGATTATTATCTGATATAATTGGGATTTTTTGTACGTACCCAAGAGGGGGGGGGGGTGTACTTCCCGCGGGAGACAGATCCGCAATGCAACACTCAAACGGCCTAGTAACCTACAAAACAACGAACCTCCGGTGTGCCGGAGATTCACAGTGACCGAAAAAAGAGAGAGAAAGTAGAGAGAGGAGAGAGTATTTTTGGGATTCATTGCACTTGGAGGATATTGATTATATCCCAACTGAGTATAAATGATCAGTATTTATAGCGCATCAGGACATGTACCTTTTAGGTCATTTAACCTAAGTAAATAGGCTTCTAACGGTTTAAGGTTTCCAAGGATATGGGCTTTTAGCCCGTTTTACCCTTTTATCATTGAGTGACACGTGTTATGCTCTGATTGACTCTTTGAGTGTTGATCTTATGGACACGTGTCACAGTGGTATTGCTCCACATTTCAAGGGTATTTTTACCCTAAACATTAGCCCCTCAGAAGGAATAATTTATCGCATTTTAGGTTAGTTAACCTAAGTAAATAAGCTTCCCACCGTTTTACGGTTTTTAGGGGTATGGGCTTTTAGCCCGTTTTTACCCTTTTATCACTGAGTGACACATGTCATGCTCTGATTGACTCTTTGAGTGCTGAGCTAGCTTATGGATACGTGTCGCAGTGACATTGGTCCACATTTCAAGGGTATTTTTACCCTAAACATTAGCCCCTAGTAAGGAGTAATTTCTCTTTTAAGACTTTATTTGCTGCCATTCAAAATCTCTTTGGTCGACATTTGTCTACTTCAAATAAAAGAGAGATTTGATTAACATGGAAAATTTTGATACCTTAAATGGTATGACATTTTCTAAGTTAATCAATCATAATAATGATTGCCCCTAAACTAAACATATGTCGACTCTCATTTCTTTTAGCCCCACTTTGACGATCATATGACCTTTGGGCGGCTTAGAATCTTTTTGAGACATTTGCTTGGCTATTAAGCTTTTTGCAAATTGTTTAGGGTAAAAATTACCCTAGACACGTGGCCTAGTAAAAGATTGCCACGTGTCAACATATCAACGGTTAGTAAACAGGCTAATCAGCCTGTGACACGTGTCCACCCCTTACTGGGCAAACAGAGGCTCAATCCCTCTGTGACACGTGTCCTTGTACCCTAATTGAGGTAGAGTTCTCCCCTACTATAAATAGCAGGGGTAGACCTCATTTATGGGGATCGACAAAAAAAATTCCAACAACCAACCAAACACAAAACCCATTGCAAACGATCTCCAATCGAGAAGCATTTATTGTTCTTATTTCCTCTTCAGAAAGATTCTAACTTAATCTTCGGAGGCGGAACTCCAACCCCCCAGCCAGAGTCTCCGTTATTTGTGCAGGTACAGGCGAAGGAAGGAGCATACTAGGACATTGTAACTCTCCCGTAGGACACATAAAAAACCCCCAAACATCTGGCGCCGTCTGTGGGGAGAGTACTTTCTAGATGACTTCAGAACCTGTACTGCCGGGTAAAGGTAGCCAACCTGCTGGTGAGGCTGAGGTCCACTCGGACCAAGATACAGCCGACAACTATGAGGTTGAAACTTACACAGCTGCCGATGGTTCTTTTAGAACCAAGCATACTCGTTCCAAAGACAAAAGGGAACGGGCAGAGCAGCAGGCAGGCCCAAGCCATCCCATCAGGGGACCGCTTGGGTTAACTCCTGCTTCAGAAGGGGCCACCTCAGTCTCCAGGGATGAACTCATGAGCATGATGATGAGTTTTAAAGGGGAAATCAAAGGGCTTCTGGATAACACAGCCGGCCCCCGTAAAGGTCAGGCGGAAGAAAGGCGTCTTGGATAAAAGATGGCCAAGACAGTGAAAGGTAGAGCATCTACCCCACACCCGAAGTCAAAGGTGCCGGCTAGGCCCATTGATTTCTCAAAAATTCACACTCCCATGGATGGAGCCAGAAAACCCGTCCGGCACATACAGCTGGATAGAACAAAGAAAGTCTATTCTGATGCTCGGACGCTCATTCAGGATAAAAAAAACTCAGCAGCGCTCCGAGTCGGCATCAACGTCGACCTTTCGAGACAGCTTCCATGTCACATAAGGGAGGCACTCGAGAACAAACAATGACAGCCGGACGAGCGAGGTTTCCGCTCGATCCGGCCCTCATATCATCCAACCGGCATTGCATGAAACACCATACACGCCTTTTGGATCTCCTTATTCTCAGCCGGGTCTTTTCGGGGGGCAGCAGCAGCCGCCTGTCCAGCCTATGGACTGGCAGCTCCGGCTGCTCAACCTTGGGGAACAGCCAACAGCGTTTTCCAGGGAAATCACCGAGATGGCCCAGCCGTAAAAAATAAAAAAGTGTTGGTTGGTGCCTATGACGGTACCACCAACCCGGAAGATCATCTCATGGCATACACCAACCTGATGTATTTGCAGGGTTTGGATGATGCCTCATGGTGTAGGTGCTTCCCGGCAACGTTGAAAGGGATTGCTCAACGTTGGTTTGGTAACTTACCTGTCGGATGCATCAATAACTTTAGAACATTGGCTTACTGGTTCACGTCCAACTTCTCTATGAATATCCCCGCTAAGAAAACAAGCCTTGATCTGGGGACAATACAACAGGGAGATAAGGTAGGACTCCGGTCATATGTCAGGCGGTTTAACTTGATGAGGATCCAAATCCAAGGGTTGTCTGATGAGGTTGCCTATACTGACTTCTTCAAAGGCCTAAAAAACGGGTCAACTTTTAAGTTAGACTTGGTTAGGAAGAGGGTCTCTACTCTTCACGAGGCATTAATGAAGGCGGAGGCCTACATCCAAGCAATGGAACTTTGCGCTGTTAAAATTCCAACGTATTACAAAAGATCCGATAAAAGAGAGAGCCGGCCTACACAGCCGGCCAAAAGGGAGGAAAAGAAGCGGAAAGAGGTCTAGTCGGCAGAGCCACCCGGACAACAATTCCAAAAGAGAAAGAGGTCAGATCCGTATGTTCCAAAATACGAATTCACCAAGGATTGTGCATCCATTCTCAAGGAAGTTAAAAACCGGTTGAATCTTGAATAACCGGCACCAATGAAGAGTCCTGGGAGCAGTCGGGATAAGAGAAAATATTGCCTGTTCCATGAAGAAATAGGCCATGATACTGAGGGCTGTTTTAGCCTCAGGCGGCTCTTTGACCGTCTTGCTGATGAAGGGGCTCTAAAATCCTACTTATCCAAATCAAAGGGTGCTCCCAACCAGGCCAAAGGGCCACCTCCTAAGACACCGGAAAATCAATCAGATACGGATGAGGATACCATCCTAACTATAGCCAGTGGATTTGTAGGCGGCGGGCCTACCATCCGGGGCACTAAGGATAACATTAGGAAGCTGGTCAACTCAGTGGATGAGGACCGGTCGTCTAAAAATTCATTCCCGAAGGTCCATATCTCCGAAAGGGATAGAGGAGAGGTCAGGCGGCCCCACGATGACCCAATAGTCATCGAATGTAAAATCGCCAATCAACAAGTTGCCCGGATCTTAATTGATACCGGGAGCTCGTCCGACCTCATAAGCTACCAATGCTTGGAAAAACTCAAATATAAGCCAAGTAGCATGCATCCGGCCCCATATCCTCTTGTTGGTTTTAGGGGAGGAGTAGTACATCCGGTGGGCATGGCTGACCTACCCATCCGGTTTGGAGAGCAAGGGGAGGCCCGGCACATGGTTGTCAAGTTTCTTGTTGTAGGGGAACTGACGACCTACAATCTGATCAATGGCCGCCCAACCCTTAACGTTTCAAAGGCTGTGATCATCCCGTCTCTAATGTTGATTAAATTTGAGAGGGATGATGGCACAGTCGGCTACTTGAGTGGGAACCAAAAGACGGCGAGAGAGTGTTACCTCTCGGACATCAAACCCACATTGGTCACAGACGGTTAAGACAAGGAAGTAGTTGAACTTGACGAGTGTGATCAAGAGTTACCGGCTACTAAGGCAGCCGGTAAAAAGAGAAAGGCGGACCAGCTACTGGCCCCTGTCAAAGGGAAACAATAGCAATCATTGTCAGGGGAGAGGTCAGACGACCTCCGCCCCTAGCCGGCAGGGGAAATCATTGACATTATCCTAGAAGACAGCCAGCCAGACAGAACCGTCAAAGTTGGGACGGTTGCATTTGACAACTTGGGAATCGATCTGCTCCGATTGCTGAGAGAATTCAAAGATGTGTTTGCCTTTGAAGTAGAAGAAATGCCGGGAGTGTGTCCGGATCTTGCTGTTCATAAACTCGTTGTGGATCATAAGAAGAAGCCAGTCAGGCAAAAGAAAAGGAACCATGGCG